GCTGGTGATAATAGCCTAAGTGTCCACAAAAAAGGAATGTGATACAGGAGTTTCCATGTGAGTAGTTCTTTTGGCAAGTGGTTCTAGTGAGGAAAATGAGTGGTGGAACAAGGTAGGAGGAAAAGTGAAACAAGGTTGTGTTATGAAATGCACACCACTATAAGCAAGCGTGCTTGATCCTATGGGTCCAAAATTTGTATCTATTCTTGTGAGGATGAATAACTGCCACCTCTAAGATAGAATGGGTTCAGTGCATTCAATGTGGAATGAGGTAGCTGGATGATATCCTTGAAGGAAGGTGCAGAATTAAGGGCCCAGCATCAGCTGTTGCTCTTGGAGAGATACACATTTAGCGGTGGCAGCCTGATCACCTTTGTGAGAGAAAGCCAATGCTGTTGAGCTCAATCTTAGGCTTTATCCATGCCTGCCCCATGACAATTCATTGATCTATTGTGCCAGAACTAAGATGACTAAGAAGAGAAGCTCTTTGATATTCACAGCATGAGCCATCAGATCCACTTGGGTTTTTAAATGTCTTCTCTACAATCCTTTGAATAGCCATTACAATGAGGCATAGAGATATATATTCTTTGTTTCCATTCCCATAGTTACATCCACATGCCTCTTATCCAAACTTTCTTACCTTTCATTTATAATACTCTCTTTCCAATACCATGGCATACCAACCAAATTGTTCTCCACAGTCCAGGAGACCACCTCAGATCACAGCTCCCTCCATCAAACTGAAAGACCAGGTGTAATTATCACAGCTCTGCCAACTAGGAATTATATGTTCAATATTATTCTTTAGGGCTACTCCAACTGAAGCTGAAGTGGGGTGGCAGTACACTTAAAGCTATCATCCATTTAATGCTGACACATCTGTGCACCAGACTTGATAAATTTCTCTTTAAATAGTCGGTCATAGATCACTCCCTACTCCATGAGGGTATCATTGCAACAAAGTTCAATGGCATGGAAGTTTGTGCAATCATTATTTGTGACTTCTTAGGCTAGATCCTGAATGTTGTATTACCATCACAGGCTGGACTGCTCCTAATGCTGCCAGACCTTATCACTCGGTGAATCTCAAAATGTACAGTGTATAATGGGCAGTGCCTGTCATATAGTCAATTACTGTACCTTGGTTAGGCCCTCCATATCTACTAATTCTAAATAGTATCAAGGAGCTGTTTTTTTTACATGACAAGTAGGTTACTGGCCCAGGAAGTATGGCTTTTGTTCAGAACTTTAGATTCTGTGTTGCAATGCCATGTTATGGCTTAGAATGACTAGTTAGTGGATCCTTATCCACCATAGATACCTTAAGACACTATCAGAATGTGCTGAGTCATATGGTCTGAGTGGCAAGGCTACTTGCACCACAGATCTGAAAAAAAAAAAAAGGTAAGTTGGGGGCCAAGATTTTCCACCAAACTGCTGACTTTAGACTTTAACTTGCCAAGGCTGTTTTTCTTTTTCTCCCCAATTTTTTAAAATTTATTTTTTTATTGTTGACAGTATTACAAATGTCCCCCATATACCTCCCATTTTGCACCCCTCTACCCAGCTCTGCTGCTGCCACAGGCCTTCACTGAATTATTGTCTGTGTTCATGGGCTATGCATATATGCATATAAGTTTTTTTGCTTAATCTCCTCCCACCTGTCCCCACTGCCCTTCTCGCTGATATCTGTTAGTCTGCTCCATGCATCCATGGCTCTGGCTCTATTTTGTTTGTCAGTTTATTTTGCTCATCAGATTCCACATATAAGTGAGATAATGTGATATTTTTCTCTGACTGGCTTAATTTGCTTAACATAATACTTTCCAGGTCCTTCCATGTTATCTCAAAGGGTAAGAGATCCTTCATTTTTACAGCTGCATAGTATTCCATTGTGTATATGTATCACAGCTTTTTTATCCACTTATCTACTGAAGGGCCCTTGGGCTGTTTCTCCATCTTAACTATTATAAATAGCAAAACTAGGAACATAGCTAATACTCTAGTCAATTGTCCATACATTTAGCCTTGGAATTCTATTTGTAAGGCATTGCCACATATTTCTGTCAGTCACCGTAGCCTGACTCCACTCTCACCTTACTTCTCATTATGGTAATGACACCCAACTTGCCCCTGAGCTTTTGTTCCGCCACCTGGACCCTGTCATTCTGGAATCCTATCATTCCTATTGTAACATAGTTTGCTTCTAATCATGATTTGTAGAGGAGTGCCAACACTGAGCTACTAAAAATGTCTGTTCCCCCTCACTATTATAGTAGTGCTTTCTCTGCCCTCCAGGGGAAAATAGTTTAGAGATTGGTCCTCTTGATTCATTTCTACTACCCTCATTTCATTTGACCTTCTCACCAATTCCTCAATACTCTGGCAAAGAAGTTCCAGTATCTCCATCTTATTGACTGTAGGCTGTTATCCAAACTTAAAGATGCCACCTAGCAGTCACAAATGTGTGCTCCCATGTAAATTTTCCCCTATATCCACTTATAATCCATTGCTAATTTGACATCCTCAAAATCCATTCCAAAACATGCTGGTATATTTTAACTAGGTTAGGATATTCCACCTAAACAGACTGCATTTTGCTTTTGGTGTGGTGATACCTTACCCTTGTCATGAATTGGGATCAATGAAAAATATGTGCTGGATGTTAAGACAACAATGTCCTTTGAGGTAGCTGCCTTAGATGAGGTTATTGCCTTGTCTCCATGAAGAAGAAAGCTGTTTTCTAATAGCAAGGGTTAGGGGCTGTTTTTGGCTGGCTGAGGAGTTGGGATTGTATATATCCAAGATTCTCACACCCATCACTATTATAGGTCTCAGAATTGTACTCTTTCCTTATTAGGACACATATATTGATATAGAGACCTGTAAATGTTGTGAATAGTTTCCATGCTTCTCTTCCAACCTTTCAATTATAATATGGGCTTGATATTAGACAATCTGCCTTATGATTGGAAGAGATGGGGGTCTCTTTAATCCAATGAATTAGGTTGGCATGCCCATCAGACACACAAATGTAGGTTAAAGATTCAGATTAAAGCATTCTTAGAGCTGGCCTCAACCAATCAGGCTAAAAGGGATCTCAGAATCCATACTGAGTGGGAAGCCAAACTCATCCACTCCCACACCCCAAACACCAACTCATGCAAAGAGGAAAATAGATGCATGTCTGAGACACATCTCCCTCACTTCAATATATGCCACAATATAAATGACATACCAGGAGGAATCAGGCAACTCACCTTTTACCCCAAACCCAATAACTCACAAATGCGGGGAAGCCTGGAACTGGTTTTCAAATACAGGCAGTGAGATTAATAAATATTACTCACTATTTTGATAAAGTAGTGCATCCTAGTGCTTTTAGAAATTAGATTGTCACCTGGATCACTTTAAATCTGGCCTTATCATTTGGGTCACCTTAAATACTTAGAGCAGAGCAGAGCTTTAAACCATTGCTTGCTCTCCTGACTATCAAATGTATGAATGAGTGAATACACAAATGAGGTAGTAAAGATGATATCAGAAACAAAAGATAGAAATGGCTCCACTGAGAAAACGAAAGGTGGGCAATATATTGGAATCAAAGGGAATGCTATAGAGTACAGATAGTGTGTTTTCCCAGTATATGAGTCCCACATATAGTGTGGTGATGGTCTGTTGTCAAATACTCCTCAAGATCATAAGGAAGTTATGTGGATTGATACAGTTATGTTAAAGCAGTCTTGGTCTTTATCAGGCAGACCAAGAGAAGGTTCTATGGAATCTAAAGCTTATGCAATTTGGAAGGCTTTATTTTAAAATAATACAAAATCAAACATGAAAGTGAATATTTATTTAGAATGATAAGATAATGTATAACAAGCATTAAAATGAAGACAACTACAACAAGCAAAATTCCAAACAGAGAAACACCAGTTATGTAACTACACGATTTGAAGTATGATGAAGTGAACATTCAAAATGAAAGATTTAATGGTTTTATTACAAATGAAACATCAAACTTTTGAAAATTTTACATAAATATGTGGCCATGAAAACATATAACAAAAGACCAAGAGTAACAGTTGTCTCACTCTAAGAATAAAAATGCAGACAAGTTCATGTTAAGCCTTTAGTGTTTATTTTTATGTCAAGTTTCTAAAATAAAGTAGCCCTTATAACATTTATTTTCACTAAAGTCTTATTTCAAGTTAGAATAAGCTTTTCATTGGTTTCAGACTTCAACTGTCAGCTGTGTATTTTTAAATATATTTGGATAATTGTCACATTTGGCCAAATGGAGGCCTTTTCTATGACTCATTTCCAAACTCAAAGATTCTGGTCCATCTACTCTTTGTTTTAGCCTGGAATGACTTACCAGTTGGTATTTATATTGTTGGAACCAACTAGAACTATTTTACTAATATACAGAGTGTTTGGTTTGAAACAAATGACAATATATTTGGAGATACTATAGTCAGAACAAAATGCTTGCATTTTCTACAGTTTATAACAAACTAGATGGGTTCTTAAGCAGTCAGCCTGGACTCATACTCTAGAGTAGCCAGACTATGAATACAATGACTCTAGCTGTCTTCCACATGTGGTCAGATGGCTATATTTAGATACAGATACTGTTAGATATGATGACAGCCAAAAGCCTGTCTGTTTAAGAAACCACTGACTTATTGAATAATAGACACTCCACAAATGGAATTTCAGGGAAGTGTAGAATGAACAATCCTGTTCCAGGCTGCCAAAATTATTTTCTGCATGCTGAGATGTTATTCTCACACATATAGACTGCATGCAGGTAATCCATTTACTTTATTTTTGAATTCCAGATTTTCTTGCAAAAGCAATTACAGTTAGTAATAATATATAGCAAAGCATCTCTATCTTTGGTTCTATGTCTCAGATATTTTTTTCCAAAAATAAATAGGCATGGCAGAAAAAATAATTCAACTATCTTAGGAGAAACCCAATATTTTATAAAAACTAAGCAAAAATATATAATATAATCAATGTTCCTTAGACTTTTTTTCTAATCATCTCACTTACTATCTAATACTAGTGCAAATTTCATATGCAAATGATTGTGTACCCTGTATTTAACTATACAGCATAGACACAAAGATGTCAAAAAACAAAATAGTACTTTCTCTTAAAAATTATTTAGGAATTATGAATTCTAAAAATGTGTGAGATAGCAGAACTGCTGAAATATAATAAAATTGACTTTAAAGAAGCGTAAGAAAGAAAATGTTGATGTAGTAATATTGACAGATCATAGAGATGCCAAAAAACCACACACAACAAAACCTGAACATATTACCTAAAGCCTCCCGTTTCTGGAAAATATGTTAGGGGGATTTTTTAAACTAATATCTATGAAAGCTCCCTGTTAGGATTTGGACATGCAGGTGATTTAGTGAGCTTGTTTTGTTGATGGCTTCCGTCTCTTTTCAACTAGGATTTTTGAATCAAATAACTCTCTTTCCCTGTATCCTAGAGATGGTCCTTTTAGATACTTTGCTTCAGCTTCCTTGTAATCTAATCCATCAACAGCAGAAATTGAACAAATGATTGCTTCTGGCAGAAGAACTTCTAGGATAAATTTAATTTTATCATCTCTTATCCGAGCTAGCATTCTTTCGTCGATTTTTTTGTAGATTTCTTGTAAATATTGCACTACCTCATCCAACTGATCTTCATCTTCAAAGTATGTTTCAATACAGGGAGTGAACCTCTTTGCTTTCAAAAATGATTTCAGCCACCTGGATGCTTTTGTGCCATTTAAAATGGACAGAAGATGGTTTTCTGCTCCTTTTGCATTCACAATGAAGTCCACTAGATTCCTGTTGGCTCGGTCCCGAGCTGACTTCATTCGGTCAGGGAGAATTTTTTTGAAGGACATTCTTTTGGTCTGGGAAGTCATGGCCATCGGTTCCATAGAATCTTCATTATGCAGCTTTGGAAATAAGTTCCTGAAGGTATCTTGTCTGATTACTTTCCTGATTGGATAACTAATGTCAGCAGCATAATACTCAAGGAAAGAGCCTGTAAAAGAACCACAACCTAGTCTAACTCTGTAGTCACAAATCAGTGAGATGCACCAGTCAATACTTTCACTGTAATCCTCCCTGGCTTTATCCACTAGTGCTTGTTTCTCTTTACAATCAAATTTTTTTAATCTTCTCAAAAGCACTCTAATGCCTCTCTTTTCACGATTCATGTTTGCCTCAACAAAAATCACACTTGCTTTTTTCTCTTTTCTCCTGATGCTTTTCACTATGGCTGGCCAAAATGGATATTTTTTATATTTAAACCAGACTATCATTCCTGCTTCAAATGAACGTGGCTCATAATGAAAAACAACTGGTGGAAGTACTTCATCTTCCTCATCGTCATCTAGTACAGAAGTATCAACAGGATTTAGAGGCACTGACTTATCAGAAGCTTGGAGTTCTTCTCCGTGTTCCTCAAAATCCGGATTCTGGTCACTTCTTTCATTATCCCCACGGAGTGAACAATCCATGACACGGTTAGAGGCACTAAATGGAACCTGACATTCCCATGAACAATAACTGGGGGGTGCCAGAGCACCTGTCTCTGATTCTACAGGTTGATTCTGGCTTGTATCTAAGCATGAATTCGAGGGACCCTCTCCAGGATCCTCAATATTCTCTAAGAAGGCAGAGCATTCAGAGGAAATGGCCAGTGTCTTTGGGCAGAGATCTTCTGGCTCCTCTTTCAAACTTTTTGGCACAATGAAGATATCTGGTGGTGAAGTTGGAGTGAACTTCTCTTCTTTAACATAAGCACCTTCCTCTTTGATTGTAGAATCCAAAGGCATAATTGTTGGGATGTCAATCTTTTTCTTGCTCTCCTTTTCATCCTCTTCTGAAAGTGGAGGGAAAATTTGGCACCAGCTGGAGTTTTGTGATGATTTTGTTTCCATCTCACTTGGAATAGTATCAACGGTTGCATGCACTTGTGATTTATCATCATACAAGGAATCATCACTCTCTGAAGATACTAACAGAAATGTTGGAATTTCACTTTCTTCAAGACACTTCGATAAGTTTCCTTTAGGCTTCCGATACTTTTTACGAGGGGGTGAATTAGAAAGCTTTTGTGGTACATTTTGAGACAGTGTGGTGGTCTCTTCTTCATCTGAACTGCTTGATTGATTCAAATTTGTTCTCTTATTCAGAATACCCAGTGCCATTTTTAGTGACCTTGCATAAGCTGTTTCCTCTCTAGGTGGATAACTGCCCTCTGACTGTGCTGCTAGTGAGGAGGCAATGGCTTCAATTTGAGATTTATTTAGGATCTTTGTTTCCTTGCTTTCCACTTTAATTTTTTCATTTACTGAGAGTATTTGAACTTCTAGGGAAAATGTCTTTTTTCTCTTACTGTTTGATGAAGTCTCACATCTGGACAAAACTTTTGCTGGCCATAACTGGTCTTTCCAATTGCATAAGACGTACTCAGCATCCATTATGACTTAGATTTGTTTACTATCAGAGACTGAGGTGAATGACTATTCTTGTCAATATTAAGGCAGTTCCTACCCAAAACAACACTCTCACCAAAATCGCCTTTGTCTTAGAATTACCAAGTGTTTATAGCTTTTTTGGTCTGTTCTCTTCCAGCAGAATTTCCCAAGGATGCTTGAGCCCGTTGCTTAAATGGGACAATATGAGAGATACTGCAATAGGGAAAAGGAAAAGAAGAAAATTATCAGCAAACAAGATTATTTTGCCAAAGTGGAAGGTGAGCGATTACAAATAGAGATAAAAGAAAGAATAATTCTCAGTGGGGCATGATATGGAGGGGAAAATGCAGCATAATGTAAAGTGAAGGTAAAATTGAAGAAGTGGTTTATAATACCTCAAATTCAAGAACTTGTCCTTACAATTTTGCACTTGATTATTAAGGACTGAATCAGTGTACTTGCTGGCAGAGGTGGGAAAGGTTGTAGTGGTAAGTCAAGGACTCTATTTATGTTATTAACTCCTTTGGGACATTTATGTCTCTGCTGTTATACCTAAGGCAGTAGGACTCCAAACTTTGCATGCATCAGAATCATCTAGAGGTCTTCATAAAACTATTTCTAGGCCTTATCCTGATAGTTTTATCCAGAAGATTCTAAATAGGATCCAACATTTTGTATTTCTAAGTTCTCAAGTGATTCTATTGCAACTTGTCCAAGAACTTTAGAATCATTGTTCTGGATAAAGACACAGTTTTATAATATTTAAGGTATAAATACTTTCCTATTTACCCAAAGCAAGCAAAGTATGCATCTCCTCGGCCCAGACAATAACACATGACCTTGTTAAAAGCATGAGCTTAGAAGGCAGAGATTCAGAATGGTTGCTATGTTTACTAATTGGGTAGGATAGTTAGCAAAGATTTATTGAGAGTAAGCTGTGTAAAACTCAGGTAGAAATCTGAATATCCTCTTGCACAATTTCTTCATAGTGGTTCAACATGAGATTCTTCTCACAAACTCGAATTGATAACTTTTATTTTTATTTTTAAAAATATATATTTTTATTGATTTCAGAGAAGGATAGAGAGATAGAAATGCCAATGAAGAGAGAATCATTGATAGGCTGCCTTCTGTATGGCCCCTACTGGAGATGGAACCCACAACCCAAGCAAGTGCTCTGACCTGGAATAGAACGGTGACCTCCTGGTTCATAGGTCAACATTTAATCACTGAGTCACACCAACTGGGATAGAAGTGATGATTTTTAATTACACAATATTATGGCTATAGAACAGGGAACAAAATAAATTATACTTCAAATTTTCAATCTAACATGGTTTTAGTATGAAATATAGCTTCTAATTAAAAATGCTATGGCTGCAGCCTTGGCTGGGTGGCTCAGTTGGTTGGAGTATTGAACTGTACACTAAAAGATTGTGGGTCTGATTCCCAGTCAGGGTACATGCCTAGGTTGCAGGTTTGATACTGTAAGAAAGGCAGCTGATCGATATTTCTCTCTCTCTCTCTCTCTCTCTCTCTCTCTCTCTCTCTCCTTTCCTCTCTCTCTGAAAAAGTCAATAAAAACATCTTCGTGTGAGTGTTAAAATATTATGCTGCAGAGAAGGAAGCAAAACAAATTCTAACTCAAGTTCTCAACAAGTTTTTAATGTGAAATATTTTGTGAAATGGGAAGAGCCTTAGCCAGTGTCAAATGTGTCATAGAGGATCTGGTCTTGTGGTCCGGTTGTCTTGATTCTCACTTGAAAAGAAGAAAGGCTACACAAAAGGAGATAAAATTCAAACCAAAAAATGGAAAAAACATATTGAAACTTTCCTGCCCAAACTTTAGAAGGCATGCCATTCTGAAACACAGGAATGAGATAAAATCTCATCTGTGATATAGATGCCATATTTATTTTCCTTCTTTTATTTTTAAATTCTCTTTGTGACACAGTTTATTTGGTTAATGTGAGATGATCTTTATGACTAGAAAACTGTGAGCTGGGGGTAAGAGAGAAGGGAAGTAACAAATTGCCTTGTGTCTATTATGAACAAGACTATAGATTTTGCTTGAATCTGCACATCAATCAATATGTGGATTTTTCCTTCTTTGCGAAATAATTTTTTTTCATTGGAATTTTAATAATACTCTACATGCTGTCTCATAGTCCACTAATACAAAAATATGTTTCATTGCTTTGTTTCCCACTTTCATAAAAATGGTTGCCTGAAGAAAATGTAGTAAACCTGGGAAGCCCCATCTTGTGACCAGAATCAGAACTGCAGCCTCCACGGGAGGCATAGGCAGGGCTTCAATCATGATCAGATCCTTTTTATGAGAAGTGAATGAACTACATTTAGCCAGTCAGAAGCCTCCCCAGGCTTCTAGAATTTTCTATTCTAAGTTCAAGGCTTTTGCTTTGTCAGATTATAGCAGGGTCATAATGTCTTCAATTACAATGTTTGTGATTATAAAAAATATCCAGAAGCTTATTAAAAATTGAAAAGGTGCAGAGAGATATATACAAAATAAAGTACAACTCTACAAATAATCACTGTGAATATTTTCTATAATATCAGAATTGTTTGCATATAGGAATAAATATTTTCAAACCAACATTAGATCTCAATTAAGAACATATTTTGAACATCATCCTATGTAAATATTTCCCACATGATTTTTATGAATTACTTTATATTTTTCCCACATTTACAACATTTCATCTCAGTATTTTACCTAATGATGTAAACCAAGTAAATAAATAAGTATATATTAATACTATTTTAAATAGTAGTAAAGCTAGCTCTGTTTCTCCAGCTACACAAATGATCCCATTAATAGTGTGGCAGATATGTGCTCCCAGATTTGGTTGCATATACTGTAGTAGCATACCTATGTTTTACTAACATACACATTTATTTTTAAGTGATATCATATAATAAATGCTATGTTAAAATTTCATTTTTTTCACTTTATACTACTTATCAGACATTTCAAATCACTACATATTTCTATTCTCCAGATACATAATATTCTACTGTATGGTTATATCATTCCATACAATGTTTTAAAAACTGCTTATAGAAATAAACCAAGTTCTTTCTCTATCTCACTCTTAAAATATATAGAAAAATGATTCTTGTTGACCAAAGCCATACCTGTGATTTGAAAGAATGAGTTGCGAGGACACATGCAGGGCTGTAGCCAACACAGCAATTAGGCTACACACTTGATCAGGTCCAGGAAAATGTCCACTATTTGCAAAAAAATCCAAAAGGAGGATGTTTGCACATCTGCATATGTCTATGAATGCTTATGTGTTTTAAACAAAATGGATATGTTGTTTCAGCTTCACTTTTCTTTCATGGTTATAAAAATAATCATGGGGAAATATACTCTAAAGATGCTGCAATGGGCTAACCTGACCACTGAGAAATGCTGACTAACATGGGAGTTTATTTTCTCCCAGGTTTTTTTCTAATCACACATATATATGCATATGTATGTACAAGTGTCTCCAGTCAACTACATATCTGTTCCCCTTTCCATGTTCATATACTGGTGACATATAGCCTTTCTATCAATTCATAAGAGTATTCTCTCCCATGCTGTCACATATTTTATCCATCATTTTCTGTGTAAAGTAAAAATGCTTAAAAATTCAAGTAGTAACAAAATTCCAGCAACATAAACATGGAATGCCAAGTCAATAAATTAGCATGAATGGCTATACTGCACTGAAATCTTAATATAGAGGCTGTAATCTGATCACTTCTTCTCCCACTGTAGATTTTTAATGCATTGGGAGATACAGAAATGCTAAAGGATTAATTCCTTCAAAATGCCAGAAATTCTTTCAAAACCACACACTGTTCTCACCACTTTAAGACCACCATTACTATTTTTCTCATCTTTACTCTTAGGCCCTGAGAAGTCCCTGAAAAAGAACTAGATTTAAGACAGTCATTACCTTGAAGCTTTTTGTCAGCTGCAGCCTCCTGAAATGCAGTCCCTCCACCAAGAATGCTTCTGAGAGAATGCTCCGCCTCCTCCCTGTGATGGGGAAGACAGAAGGCCTCTCCCTGAATTGGAGGAGGGACAACAGCCAAGTTAAACTGCTGAAGTGTTAAAGGGTAGAAAATGTTCCTTAAGGAAGTTAAAAGTGAAATGGCAACAAGTGTCTGTTTAATTTCCATTCAGACCCTTAGAATATGTAACTTCCTGGTAAAAAGTGGTAGCAAATTCCTTTATTAAAAAATAAAAATCTAGTTTAAAATATTCCTTCCATATTTTTCCTTGCCTTATCTGGCATTTTACCTCTGCAGGTAAATTTAAAACCCAGTTGCACATGCTTCATTAAAATAGCTCACTAAGACTGTTGATTGGGATTGCACTAAAAATGTACATTATTTTATGAAGAACTACTTATTTGTAATATTTTTTTTATGTTCCCGGTACATGATAGTCTCTCCTTTTATTCATTTCTTCTCTTAAATGCTTCAGGAAAGTTTCACAGATTTCTTCACAAACTTGGATGTTTCTAACTAAAGGCTAAAAATTACTGGTTTGGCAATAAAGTACACATTTCACATACCCTCATCAATAATTAGTAATTCCGCCTTAACCGGTTTGGCTCAGTGGATAGAGTGTCGGCCTGTGGACTGAAGGGTTCGATTCTGGCCAAGGGCATGTACCTTGGTTGCAGGCACATACCCAGTAGGAGGTGTGCAGGAGGCAGCTGATTGATGTTGCTCTCTCATCGTTGTTTCTAGCTCTCTATCCCTCTCCCTTCCTCTCTGTAAAAAATCAATAAAATATATATTTTTTTAAAATTAGTAATTCCTTCTTCTTATGTTTTGTTGGCATTTTCCACTCAGGCAATTCAATGTAGGAAATTAATTTTTAAAAATTTACACACCTTTGTTTATATGTATGTCTAAAATAAATTTTGCAAATTTTGTTCATTAAAATTCTACCATGTTAAATTTAAACTTAGATTTCTGATTTAACTTAGAAAGCCAATTTTAAATACCATTAGTGCTAATTTTGGTAATGAAAATATTTGGGGATGAAGTACCTGTGTATTATATAATATATATAATATATGTTATTCCCCATGTGATCAAAGATGGCCGCCCCCATGTGGACACAAGATGGCCACCACAAGATGGCCAGCAGGGGAGGACAGTTGTGGGCGATCAGGCCAGCAGGGGAGGGCAGTTGGGGGCAACTAGGTCAGCAGGGAAGGGTAGTTGGGGGGGACCAGGCCTGCAGGGGAGGGCAGTTGGGGGGGACCAGGCCTGCAAGGGACGGCAGTTAGGGGGGAACCAGGCCAGCAGGGTAGGGCAGTTGGGGGTGACCAGGCCTGCAGGGGAGGGCAGTTGGGGGGGACCAGGCCAGCAGGGGAGGGTAGTTGGGGGTGACCAGGCCTGCAGGGGAGGACAGTTGCATTCTTTGTACCTGGCTAGCAATCTTATAAAGAGGGGTGTTGGAGAATCCTGTGGAACCTTTTAGGGGCCAAGAATGGAAAATTTTACTGCTGGTCACAGTCAACTAGCTAAAACTGCCATAGAGGCTGGGGAAGGTAGTTTTCCTGTGACTCAAGAGGAGAATGAAACAGGGTTTTGTGAACACATAGCATTCTCTCTACAGGAACTTTCCCCTTTTCATCTTTTATGGACTTCTGTTACATGATTAATGCTTTTCATCACTATGTATCATATTTATAATGACTAGGAGAGTAGAAACCTTTAGTTGCTGACCCTAAATCTACTCTTTGCATTCTTCTTCATTACAAGAACCACAGCTGCACTCAGGTTGACTATGTAAACTCTTAAAATGTTATTTTTCCCAGACTCCCCTACTGTAAGCTATGGCCATGTAACGGAATTTCTTACCAAAGACTGTAAGAAAAATAGGTGTGAAGATTTAGAGAAGGTATCTAAGAAGGGGTTAGACAGCCACCTTGTAGCTTTTTCCACTTTCCCTCTTTCCTTTTCTTTTCCCTAGAACTTGACCATGATATAATTCAGAGAGCCATTATGGACTAAGTGACTTAGATAAAGAATATAATTTACACCCTTGCCAAGTGACCCAGTTGGCTGGAGCATTATCCAGTACACCAAGAGGTTGAAGGTTCGATTCCCAATCATGGCATATACCTAGGTTGCGGGTTCAATCTCCAATTGGGGCACATACAGGAGGCAACCAATTGGTGTTCTCCTCTCACATCAATTTTTTTCCTCTCTCTCTAAAATCAATAAAAAATAAGTATCCTTGGATGAGAATTTTTTAAAAAGGAAGGTATGGAAGTACCTTAACCCTTGAATAATGGTACTACCTCATTTCAATAACTTTAACTTAGTGAAAAAAGTAAACTTCTATCTTACTTGAGTCACAGTGTTTTCCAGTCTCTCTTCTAGCAGAACAAAAGAGTTCATCGTACAATCATAAACAAAAATATAATTCTTATTAATATTTTCAAAGCTTTCAGGTTATTACTACAAGCATTCAAGAGAATTATTAGGCCAGTAGAAAATATGGCTTTACAGGGGATTTTCAAGGGCGGGGGAAAAAAAAGGAGAAACATGTAATACTCTTTGTAATAATTTAAGCAATAAAAAAAATAAATTTAAAAAAAAAAGAAAATATGGCTTTAGTTAAATAAAGAGACATATTCAATTATATATTTTATAATGTAATATTTCTCATTCTGTCTTTTCATTTGGCATGTTTGAAAAAAATAAATGCACACAAAGTATGGTCATTATATTAAGAATACAGTCCTCTATTTTATTTATTTTTTATGTTGCACATAAATCAGGAAATGCTACACTACCTCACTATTTCCAAAACAAAATGCAAAGGAAAACATTAATTCCTTATATAATATTTTATATTTTACTGTTTTGTAGAAGGAGGAGGAGAATAACTAAGAATAAGTGCTAATACACTACTATTATTATAATGAAGACAGGTAATAATTATAGTTATAATAATATCTAATAAATATAAAAGTTTTTTATGTGCCAGGCACTATTCCAAGTACTTGACATATTATCTTATTTAATACCATGTGGTAATTTTATGGAAGAGAGCCCCCATAACTGATTCATTCTGCATAACAGTAATATTATGAATAGTAATGACAACAATAGAAGCCAAAAGTGCTCTGTATTGTGTGGAAGGCATTGCGCCAAGTGCTCTGTATACATAATCTCCTTTGATACTCATAAAATCTTTTTAAGTGGGTATTATGAATATTTCCACTTTATAGATGAGGTATTACAGAGGCTAATGAACTTTTACACGTATTTGACTCTAGAGTCCATGTTCTTAATCATTAAGATACACTGCAACTACCTCATTTTAATAAAAAAATGCTCTATAAATGAGTGCTGATGAATGAGTGAATTAATTTGTAATAGCTATGTATTAGGAGTCACTGGAATGTAGAAAATTCTTACGTGGTTCTGCATCTAATATCACATAAATTAGTCTTATATAACGTGAATTATGATAGTGAGTGGCATCCCATTATTTTAGCCAAATTCTAATGATTAGAAACAGGTCATAGGTCCTGCTATTACTTAAGGAGAGGGAATTATACAAGGGGGTGCGTCACCTAGGGTGTGTTTATCACAATACTGTATGATGAAAAGAAAAGTATAGTAATGTTGACATGATCATGGTGTCTGTCAAGGGTTATAGGTAAGGGGAGGGTGTAACTATATAAGGATAGCACAGGAAGTCCTGGAGGTGATGGAACTCTTCTGTATTCTGACTGTCGTAGAGATCATATGAATCTATACATGTATAAAATACAAAGAAGTGCATACAGAAAAAGTCATTTTATGTATGATAAAATATGATATTAAAGAATAATTTGAAAAATAAAAATTTAAATGGAAAAATTTAAAAACCATTATATAAAAATAAATTCTCGACAAGTATGTTTTAAAAACCATTTGCTTCTTCCTAAAGCATATTTAGTAACAAAGAAAACAAAAATAATATCCGTATATACATTATTAGTATGCACCAGTTCCATTTCCATTTAGGATATAAAAAGCATGTCACCCACAATTTAACAATGATAAAAATATAGATAATCAGCAAAAACATACCATTTCTTGAGCCTATCAGAGAACTGTGATAAACTGAATCCCAAAGAGTGACCACCCCTTAGTGTGGGACATATGTACTGTTTCACCTTTGGCAAGTATGGAGACAGAGGTGGCTGACAGCAGGTGAAAATAAATCAACTGAAATTTTAATGAATTCTTAAATTCTTAATGGGCTAAGGTGTCAGTAGTTTGGAATATCTGGCATCCCCGGCACTAATACACTCACTGCCAAGTTCTTTTTCACAGTCCTTAACCAGAAGCACACAAACATGACTGGGGACAAAGCAGGAGTACAAAAAGAGCCCATTCAGTGGTTCAGGTATGCAGGAAACAATCAAGTGTTACTGGCGGTCAGAAATTCAGCCCCATACACTATCCAAACTATTCTAGGGGAGAAATAGAAAACTTGCTCCTTTTGGACCCAGGTTTAAAAAAAACTCCACATAAAACACTGTTTCTGGAGAGGAGCAGGAAACTGGGCCCAAGATCCTACAAGAATAAAAAGCAATAATCAGCTACTGAACAGGGAAGAGCAAGACTATATCTCTCACCAAAGACCAACCCCATATACAAACCAGAGTTTAGCTGGCATGCTAGGAGGAAAGAATGCTAAGAAAAATGTGTAACCTTCAAAGTCCAGTTGTATATGACTTTCCTAAGTTTAAGGCTGAACAGGATAATTGAGAATGCTCCCTGCATCATCACGAGTCATGTACCTAGTAATAACAGGAGTCTAATGCTGTGAAGTAGGCAAGAGCACAGACAGACACCCCTCTAGAGACACAGATTTGAAGGGACTTCTGAAAATTTAGGGTTGAGAAAAATCATTGAGAAAAATTCTATGGCACTCTAGGTTCCACTCTAAGCAAAGCAATGTACATTATGCAAGCCAGATAGTAATGAAGTGAGAAAAGGAGGACACAGTCTCCAGTATATTTTATGATACCAGCATTATC